GGGGGGAATGGGGGGATGACAAACCTGATATTCTAAGTATGTCTGCTTGGTGCCATTCCCTATATTTGATGTATACTGCTTTTATGAGAATAGCCAATGCACCTTCTGGTAACTGTATGAGACCACTGCCTCATATTGAATTGAATTTATTCTCAATTTGGATCTAAGGAATTTAAAAACCCTTTCACACATACTAGTAGTAAGCCCAATCTCCCCAGTTTTATAAATGATTCAAGTTCCTGACCATCTTAAATAATGTGTGATCTGAGAAATCCTTTTGAACCCTGTTCTGTTGTTCAGTATATTTATCCAAGTTGTTGCTTGAAATGGTAAACCACATGGCAGCCAAGGTAATGAATCAGTGTATTTAAGAACCAGTGACTAACTTTTAATGAACCCAATTTTAATGTCTTCCAGCCCAAATTTCTCCAGCATGTCCAATGGATATTATGTCAAATGGCTTGTTGAATTCTAAAATCATTATATTTACAACTTTCCATTCTGCTGGTCTAGTGATCCTTTCAAAAAAAAAGAAAATGTAGTTAGTTTTATTTGATATTTTAAATTAACACATTCTGCCTTGGTAATCATTTCTCCTTTTGAAGATGGCCTTGCAAACCATTCGTTCTAAGACATTAATTTTAGAATTTTCCCCAAGATTGCTGTCAAGAGTAAAATAACCTACTTTCTTCATTTGAAAAATTAAAATTGTTTGTGGTCATGTTTTTTCAGTACTTCTCCATAGAGCTTCCAAAATTATTGACAATGTTTTATGGATCCTTTAAAAAGTAATTTAAATATTCTGAGACAGAATTTTCCCAAACCACACTATTTGCTCATTCTAGGCTTTAGTTTTTACCACATTTTTTCTGACAACTGTCATCATACAAGCCTCACCTCAAATCAAAAGAAGTGTGAAGCACATTATCAACTGCAAATGTACAGAGAAGGGTAAGAATAGTAAATTCAATGATAACAAGAAGCTATCTTTAAGCAAAAATAGATGTGTAATGACCTTAAATTTAAATTGACTAAAGACTCCTACTAAAAGACAGATATAGTTTTACAGATTAAAAAACAAAGCCCAATCTGCCATTTACAATACAAGAATACAGAAAGCTTGATGGTAAAAATATACACTATGGAAACACTAACTGAAAAAAGCAAGTGTATTCATACCAAATAAAGTAGTCTTTATGGGGAAGTCATTCCCAGAAAAAAAGATATTTTATAATGATCAATTCACCAGATAGACATAACTATTCTAGATAGGTATACACCTAATACATACCCTCAAATATGCAGAGAAAAAAATGTATAAATGAAAAGAATAAGTAGATAAATGTAATGTCATGTAAGATAATTTAATGCAGCTATCTTAATAATACACAGTTCTTGACAAAATTTAAGTAAGAATATAAATGTGAATAACCCAATTAATCTTGACCAAATGGACATACATAATACAGTGCTTCACAATTTCCAAGTAAACATTCTTTTCAGCATATGCATGACAGGGTTTTACGTTAGTCACATTAAATTTAAAAGAGCTTCACAATGCAGATTGTGCCCTCTGTTCTCCAACAGCAGTGCAGTTTAGATGGTAACTGATAATAAGAAGCCAACTGAGATATTCCTATCTGTTTTGAAATTAGGACACACATTTCTAACCCATGGGTTAAGGAACAATAGAAACTAAAAAAATTGTTTTTAAACTGAATTATAATGAATAATACTTATGAACTCCTCTGGGATGTAATTATTGCTGTGCTTAGAAGGAAATTTATAATCTGAAATGCATATATTAGAAAAAAATAAAGTTTGATAACCAATACCTAAGCATACAAAATAAGGAAATTAGAGAACAAAAGTTAAAAGTAAGGAAACTAGAAGGAAAAATATAGGAATAGAATAGAGAAGATCAACATAGTTTGTCATTTAACATAAATAATAAAAGTGATAAATTCCAGATAAGGTTTATTAAAATATATCTCAAACATTAACAACAAATTAGATAAAATGTAAATATCCTACAAAACATAGCTTGCCAAACTGAATGGAAGAATTAATATAAGATTTGTATAAATCTATACTATTAAGGAAATGGAATCTACAGTTTATAATTTCCTACAAAGAAAATTCTAGTTGTTTTTGGCTTCATGTGTGAATTCAACCAAACATTTAAAGAAGCTGTCCAAAGCAGTATGGATATACAGAGGCTTACTCAAATAATGGAATATTATAGAGTAAAATGAGGCAAACAAATATTATATGCAACAATACGGAAGCATCTAATAAATATATTTTGAGTGACTAAAGCCAGAGATTCTGTGTGTGTGTGTGTGTGTGTGTGTGTGTGTGTGTGTGTGTGTGTGAAGTCCAGGTTATAATTACCCTCAAGAAGAAAGGAAAGGCTGGGTAGTGTTTGGGAAAATGGACAAGAGAGGGTTCCTGGAGTGCTGGTTAGTTTTAATTCAGTTCCTGTTCTCTTTTCTCTTTTTTGTGGTGTGTGTGTGTGTTACTGAAAATTTAACCCAGGTCCTTCACACTAAGATACATCACCAGTCCTTTTTAATTTTTTTTGTTTATTTTTATTTCAAGACAGGGTCTTAATAAGTTGCTATGTTGACCAGGCTGGGCTCAAATTTATAATCCTGCCTCAGCCTCCCTGTGTACTAGAATTATAGCCATGCACCACCACATCTGGCTAAATTTCAATTTCTCTATGTTTATGTTTATATATACTTTTTTATTTAAAAAATTCTAAAGGTAGTATACAATTAATATTCTCCTTATTTTCAAAACTGGAAAAAGTAGTGAAAAAACCCCTCACTAGTGAAGATGTAGGAAAATAATTCTCACTCACTGTTGATGAAAATGTGAACTGGTACAACTGTATTGGTAGATGGATTGAAATTAATAAGCTTAAAGAGTCATCCTCTGATCTAACAAATATTCTAAGAATATACCCAAAAAATTTTATGCGAATATACATTAGAGTACCTATAACATTATTTCCAAAGTGAAAACACTCATGTGTTTATCAAAATATGATATATAAATTATAGTGTTTTCATAAAATGAATATAATTTAAACAAGTAAATTCAGCTGCAAACATTAGCATGGATGAGTTCTACAAACATAATACAAAGCTAAAAAAAGCAAAACACAAAAGCACACATGCAGTAGGATTTCACTCATTTGAGGTCTGGAAACATGCAAAATAAAACTACTGTTTTATGAATTCTATATATAGATGGTAAAACTGCAAAGAAATATAACAATGTTATATTATCACAAAATTCAACAAAGTAATTATACATAAGAAGTGAGGCAAGGAAAGAATGAAATTTGTAGGGACATAAGTGCTTAGTTTTATGGGTATCAGTGTTCTTTCTCATGACTGAAGGGTTTTCATGAAATTTTTATCTCATGCATATTTGTTAAGACAAAAACCATTCGTTATATTTTCCCACTTATAGGTAATATTTCAAAGTTAAAACATGTTATAATACTTCCTGAAGAATTTACAAGGGATTATGAAAATGTACAGTGAATGCTTAAATTGAAAAAATTATTACAATAAAAGACATTGCCATTAATCCCCCTAAAAAAATCCCCTTGCTTCTAACACACTTATCCCATCATTCTTGCCACTTTCTGAAGCAGTTCTGGAAGTTTTCTTTTGTGAATAACTATATAAGTTGTGATTTTTAAAAATGTGGTGGATGCTGCAGCCAGGTGCCATCCAACAGAAAGGCAGGCTAATAAATACATTGCAGTGTGTCCTCATCCATTTTATTCATCAGATTTGGCACCATGTGACTTCTGATTTTTCCCCAAAGTCAAAATAACCATGAAAGGTAAACCTTTTAAATCAGTTCAGGAGAGTGAGGCAGCCACACCAGCACAACTAAAGACATTCATGTAAAAAGGACTTCTAGAACTGCTTCAAAAAGAGGCCATAATGGTTGGATAACTGTGTATGAAGCAAGGGGAATATTCTGAAGAGATTAATCATAAGGACCTGAGTTCAATCCCCAGTACCAAAAAAAAAAATTTAAAGTTTTAAAATATTTACTATACTTGATCACATCTCATAAATTACATGAGTTATTTTTCCAGAATAATTATTTCTATTTAAAAATCACATTCTTATTCCTGAGGTCAACTGCCACTGTATCTGTCATAGAGCATCTAGGATATGCAGGTATCACATATATGAAATAATTGATTAAGGTCTCTGTTCACTTGATTCTGACATTATAGAGAAAATTTAAAGATTGTAAATCAAAATAGCTCTCAGGGTCTGGGCAATAACACAAATGAGCAAAAATAGCCCACTGGAGGACAAAACTGTCAAGCTATTTTATGACAAACACTTTTCATAACTCTTAAAATATTGTGCACCCAATAAAATACTCAAATATACCCTTGATCCAAATAGAACAGGCAAATATTTTGGTCCTTTTAAAAAATGCAACATGACTTGCCTATTTTGCATAACCACTTCAATTCTGAATCCTTTATTTATAACATATTTGTGATGGCTTATGTCTAGACGTCCCCCCAAAGCCTCATACAGTCATAGGTGGGGCACTTTCAGAGGTGTCTGAATCTAGAGTGTGTGACTGATTCACAGTGCAATGCTAGGATTAAGGGTGCTAAGATTAATGATGGGTGATTATGAAATCAGTCCACAGATTGGTTTAGCACTGCCCTAATCCTGGTAGCCTGCATATTATATAAGGGACAGAAAGAAGCTTGTTTTATCTCTTGCTTGCTTAGCTATCTTCTGCCCACCATGAACTGTTTCTCTTATGCAATGCCTATCTGCCATGTCACCTTGCCTTGGAGCCACCAGAAGATGGACTGAAACCTCTACAAACTGTGAGCTAAATAAACTTTTCCCCCTCTAACTTTGTCTCAGCAATGAGAGAATAGTAAAACAATATTTATCTCCATATATTAATATATGTTGATATTTCTGAAAATGTACCTTCATCCATTCAAAAGTTATCAGGAGGCTTTGGGAGTACAGCTCAGCAGTAGAATTTTGCTCAGAATGCACAACACCCTAGGTACAATCTGCAATGCTGGAATAAATAAATAAATAAGTAAATAACCAGGAACATTACCTAAGCTATCACTATCTTTCGTATCTCCCTGAAATACAAGAAGAATAGGATAACGGAGGGCAGACTAATATAAAAATGCTAAAAGTAGATTTCGTGAGAAGTTGGGACAATAAATAGACATGGTTTTATTGTTGCTCAAAACATCCCCAAATATCCTGCAAACTCAGTTTAGTCTTATTAAGGCAAACATGTCAATAAAAAGATGTATCTGAACTTTCTTAAACTATATCCATTCAATCTAAGGAATGATTTACAAGATTTACAAGAAGAGTTTTTTAAAAAATATTTTTCTAACTGTTCACATTCTTTGCTATTTCTACTACCATAGCTAGTCTTTTTCAGATTGTATTTTGCTGGACCAGTAGAAACAAAGATCCTAAGGGTGACTCAAAAGACCTCCGCCTCTTGCAGCATTATCAAGTGAACAGCTAGGAGGGTGCCCATAGTGGAGCCATTTGCAACTGACATTGCACTTTTATCTGTGGAATTGGTGAAGTTGTGTTAGGAGATACCAGTGTGATCTGAAGTAGTGTTATTCGGACAAAGACATGTAATGTTGGGTAGGGGGAGCTGCTATAATCCAGTAATACTATTTTATCTGGAGGGGGGTGATTTATAATTTAGAGGAGAGCGAGCTATCCCAGAATAGCTCTGAAGCTATTTAAAAAACTATCTCTTGAACTTCCTATTTCTTTCTTTCTGTTTCTTATTTTGTTTTTATTTTTATTTTTTTAAAATGTCTTTCTAATACAACCAAACTGCACTGCAGATTATAGTTGTTTTTAGCAATTTATTAGTTTTTGATGTAGTTTTAAAATCTTTTTAAAAGTTATTTCTTGATCTTCAAAATGTCTGGAGAAATTTTCTCTTTGGTGGTTTTCAAGGACAAAGTTTTAGAGAGAGAGAGAAAAAGGAAAAAACATAAGCAAGAAACAAATCTTCAAAATTTTCTAGATTTTCCTTTTCCCCAGTTTTACCCTATGTGAAGTGCTGGCCAGCTTTCGGAGAACTAGGTGATCATTTCTCACTTAATTTGACCTTGTCTCAGGCCATTATACTAATCTAGAATTGCTCCTTTTCACAGTGAAAATTTAGCTTGAACTACACTTCCTTAGAATGCTCCTATCCATATGGGAAGCATTTAATTAACGTCAGAGTAGCAGATGCAGCTGGTGTTTTGGGGATCCCATTTACAGGCAGCTGCAGGTGCTGCTGCTGATCTATAATTCAGCTGTCTCCAGAGGAGTATCCTTGTGTGTTTGGAGCTTCCTTCTTAGGTGGTGCCTGGATGGGATACCCTCCCTTCCTATCACTGTAGGTGGCAGAGCCAATTACTCTTGGGGATAAGGACGTCCAAAAGACTCACTTTCTCCTCCAATGGGACAGATTTTGAAGTCCAATTTTAACTCCACCTCTGTCCCATTAGATCAAGATGAGCATAGAGTTGACCATAAACCTCTGTCTTGCTTTATTCCTCCTCCTTCTTATTCTGCTTGTCTCACTATCCTGAAGTTTTCTCTAGAGAGTAATATAAAAGGCTATGAAGTGTTGGAGATTTGCCCCAGCTATTACCCTGTGAGAGTTTCATCAGTATGGGAAGCTAGGAGACTCCTGGGTCAGAGACAAAAAACAATTTCCTACACATAGCAATAACAGACAGAAAATCATCATTTGGGCATTGATTCCCAAAGCCCTTGTTCTCAAAGGCCAGGTGACAACCATGCACAGAGTGGTATTACAGAAGAAATATCCTGCACTTAGGGCTTCTTAATATTTTAAAACAGAAGATAAAATTTGCCCATTGTTGTGGGGGGATTTTTCTATCTCAGTTTTCCAAAGCTCTTCACTCTACAATTACCCTTGGAAAGGTATTCAGAACAAAGACAGCCAATGCCTATGACCCTAGTACATGAGAAACACGAAAGACTTATGGAAAATTGTCAACCAACAATATTTTCTAATCCCATGTCCTCTTGGAAGTTTTGGGAAAATTTACCATAATTATGCTTAAGTTCTAACAGTTCATCAGGCTCTGCTTTTAGTGGTTGTGAATTTTTCTCCTTTCACATGAAGTATAATTGGATTTTTTTGTGACTTCTATAAAGCAACTTCTACTGCCCACCTTCACAATAGTTGTCAAAAAACGGTGGGCCTTCTTTGCAAAAGAGAATTAACAACAACCAAGGCACAATTCTAGCAACATTCTTTGAACATTTCTCCCAGGATTTGTCTTATAACCACATTTTCCAGTTATCTTCATTAAAAGACAATTAAATTGAGGACCACTTTTTGCCTGTTGACCACACAACTTGGTCCAAATATTCATTACAGATTCCCCTGGACTTCCTTCAAATACTGTTAATTGGTCCAATAAATCCTCATTCTTTCTTTCATAAATCACAGCCTTACTACCACTCAATCCTTTCTGAGAAGTCTGTCAAGAACTGTAAGTACCTGAAATTGTATTCTATTTGCAAGCTAATAAATTACCCTACTACCATTTCATAGATGCTGGAAGAACATATCAAACTCCTGTGTCAGAGACAAAGGACAGCTTTGAACAACACATGGCAACAGCAGTAGCCAGAGTACCATCATTTTCACATTGGTTTTCCGAGCCCATTTTCACAGAGAGTGATGTGGACACCTAAGTGATACTTCAATACAAAGTTGGTCATGTTACAGGAGAGAAACCTTGAGGTTAGGAAACCTCAATTTTTTATACTTGGCAGTGAGCAAATTTACCTGATCTTTTTTCCTGGAAGGAAATGTTAAGTGTTGGTCGGCTTTCTGTTGCTGTGACAACATAACAGTTGAGATAAACAAACTTAAAGGAAAAAAGGTTTATTTTGGCACAGAGGCTTCAGTTCATGTTCACTTGATTCCCTCACTGTTGACCTGTGGAGCATGCAGTGGAGAAAAGCTGTGTGCCTCAAGATGGCCAGGAAGCAATGAGAGATAGAGTGGGGCCAGACACCCAATAAACCCTTAAATGACCTATGTTTCTTTCACTAGGCCTCACCTCCTGAAAGTCCCACTACCTCCCAATAGCCACAGGTCGATGAGGAGGCTTTTATGAGCCATCTGGGACTTTGGGGGACATTTAAGATAATAAAGTTATCTTCATGATACTGGACAATAAACAAATGTACTATTTTTGTGAGTAGAGACAGTATCTCTAGCTCTCATGGCTCAGCTCTATAAATAACCTTGAAAAGATAATTAGGAACAAAAACAGCCAGTATCTCTGCTCATAAAATATACACAAATCCAAGAGACCCATGATGAAGTGTCTCCCAGTAAGAATTCTTTTAGCAAATCAATTTTATATCAATCTTTGTCTCTAGTTGCGCCGTTTTGGAACCCAACAGAGTGAAAACAAAAAGAAAATGTTAGGGGTCACATTTGAAAACCATAATAATAATTATTATTACTAGACATGATATAATTTTGTAGATGATTAAAGTTGAATAGCAATGAAAAGGCATCTCTAATGCCACATGTGTTTGGCTTTATTTCCTAGACCTACATTTGATAAATTCTTGCTATTGAGAGAAAATGAATATTTGCCAAGAAAGCTATGTCAATAGAAACATTCCCAAATGGGAACCTGCAGATTAAATGTTTATTTCAACTAATTTTGCAAATTACGTCATTAGCAGAAATTACCTAAAGCCCTCTCTATATTTTTCTTTCTACTCTAATTTATTGGACTTTTTCTTTCCTTCCCTTTCCCTCTTTTCCTCCCTCTCTCTTTCCTTCCTTTTCTTCCCATCTCTCTCTTTTTTTTATCATGAAGGCTCACAGAATTTTCTTGTTTGAAAAATTACTATTTTCCTATCAAAAAGAACTGCATAACATAGAAAAGTGAATTTTGAGTTCCGTGAATAAAAAGAAGTGGACTGCCCATGACTCTTTAAAGATACATATGCAGGTCATAGAGATATGTATGCATCTGCATGTTGAACACAAGTGAATGTTATACGTGAACATTGAAAAGTAAGTTCAGCGGTCCATCTGGATTTTTATGCATATTTCCACTTTGGATGAAGGCAATTACTGTTTTAGAAGTTTACATAGCTACCATCTGTCACAAGGCTCTATTAATCAACATGATGACTATCTCTACTCCTTGAGTACTCAGTAAACAGAATGTGAAATGTGGTCAGTCCAGAAGCACATACTTGGTCATTAACTATTTTTCCACAAAAAAAGAAAGTACACACTATAAACTAGTAGCTATACAAGTGACTCAAAAAATGACCAGTTTTCAAGACTTCAATATAGAAAGAGTAGGAAGGAAGAATAGAAACATTTGAGGAAATTCTACAGTCAGCAGCTTCCTTTCTTCTCACATCAGCCTTTAAAAGACATGTTATAGATAACTTGTTTGAAAAGAGGAAGTGGTCTCAAAAAGATTAATTACTCTGTCAAATGTCCCAGCACTCAGGAAGTGACAGAGTAGGAACACAAACCCAGGTTTGATCCACTCAGTTTTCTTATCAATCAACAACACTGACTTAAACTTGGAATGATTACTCTACCTAAATAGACTCAATTTTATTTCTCTCTCTACCAGTAGATTTGCAACTCTAAGCCAAATCCTTTTTTTAAAAAAAAAAAAATGTTTTCACAGGTCATAATAGCAAAAATTGGAAACAGCCCAAGTGCGCATCAAATGGAAAATGGATAAAGAAGATGTGGTTTTTTAATAAAATGGAGTACTACTCAGCCATAAAGAACGAGAAACTAGAGACATTTATAGTTAAATGGATGCATATTGAGGGCATCCTCTTAAGTGAAATAAATAGGACATATATGTGTAAATACTGAAGTTTCTCTAGTGTGAGAAACTGAAAGTGTAATTAAGATACACACAGATGAAATGGCCTAATAACATATTTCTCGGATTGTGTTTCCATTGCTTGTCATATGACTGTATCGAAATTTAAATCAGGGAGAAGTTTGGCTTATGTGGAGTCTGCTAACTAACTGGAGTTTTTTTCTACATCATTATTTGTTCAGTGTTGATTTTGGGGATCTTTCTGAAACAAATCACATCCTCTGGTGTCTTGTTGGTGCTTGAGATGCTTTTTTAAGTTATATGGAAAAATGTTTAAGTGCTTTTCAGTCTTGTTTTGGTTGAGTTCTATTGTATTTGAATATTATTGTAGTTTTTTCCCCCTTGCATTGGTCTTCTTTGAATGGTCTTAAATATTTGTATATGTGTGTGTTTGATAATAGAGTTATTTTTTAAAAATTTAAAAAAATGCTTGGGCCATACCCTAAACCAACTAAATTTCCCTTCTGGAGGAGGGACACAGATTGCTACCCCTGAAAGTCCTGCAGATGATGCTAATGTGCAGATTTGAAAACCTCCAATCTAACTCAGATCATTCCTTTTTCAGGGTCTCGTGGATGCTCCTCCTACTTCAAAATGAAAATGTGTGACAGGCCACATCCCAAAGGCGCTTTCTTTTCTCAGACTCACCAGTGTGATCATTCAGTCAGCTCCAGCATTTTAGGACCATTGTTCTCCACAGTCACTGGGAGAAATCTATCCTCTCTACTTGTGTGGTTGCTTCTGAAGGAAAGGTAAATTTCTCTTAGCACTTCCTGTTTATTCTCCAGGTGATCTGCTCTTCTGCTCTCCCTCCTCTGAATCCTCCTCATATAAAGCCCTGATCTCTTCCTCTTGTGAGATGAGAACTGAAAAGGAGATTCAGAATTGACTACATGTTTCCAAGACCTACATCATTTTACTCTGGAAAGTATTGTTTCTCTTAAGTTTTTAATGGTTCTCTAGCAAAGTTTCCTTAAAACACTGCCTTAACATTAATATAATTCTGAGTGAAGTGGACTTTATATTTATATCCTTTTTATGCCTGACTATAAACCAATTTTGATATAAGGTAATTTTCCCAAGTGTATTTTGACCCATTTGAATACACACATTTTTAGAGATTTAGAGAGATATGTTAATTAGTTATACACAAGCCAACTATTCATGAGGTAATGTTTAATTAATATGAATTATAAACTCATAAAGAATTGTATATGTGTCATACTATTCTTCAATTTATAAATACTGCTTTTTCATTCTTATAGCTACTAAAAACATTTATTCAAGCTCTTTACATATATTTTACTATCAGTCTGCCATTAGTAAAGACAGTTTAGAATTATCAAATACATTCTTTGAGAGTACATTGTCCTAAGTTTATGTAATTTTTGGTGACAAGGAATTCACATATGACAATCTTATTGAAATTTCCCTGTTAAGCTATTTGTGCACGTTTATATATTTATTCAACAAATATTACTGAGCATGTCTTGTGGGCTGTTGTTTTGTTTTGGGTGTGGAGTGCCCCCAAAGGCTCATGTGTTGAAGGCATGAAGGCTCATGTACAGCAGTGTCAGAAGTGGAGTTTTTGAGAAGTGATTGGATCATGAGAGCTCTGATCTCATCAGTGGATTAATCCATTGATGGGTTCACAGTTAAATTGACTACTGGAAGGTGGTGAAATTGCAGGTGATGGGCCTTGTTGGAAAGGGTACATCTTATCCTTGATTCCTTCCAGCTCCCTACACCTTCCCACCATGATGTTTCTTTTTTTGTCTTGCCACAGGCCTAAAAACAGTGGAACCATCTGGCCAGAAACCTCTGAAACCATGGGCCAAAATAAATTATAAATTTCTTCCTTTAAGTTGTTTCTCACAATTACTTGGTCATAGTAGCAGAAAGCTAACTAATGCAGCTGGTAACTGTGTATCCTTCTAAGTTCTCTCATCTAAGGTCTGAGTTTACACATAATGCTGGAGATATGATAACCTCATGGAATATAAGTTATGATTGAGTTATATTCCAGTGGGAGAAGATACATAATAATACTTATCAGGTACATTCTGTGAAGTGGTATGTTTCAGGAAAAGGAAGAAAGGATGAAGACTGATGGTGAGGAGTGAGATGCTTAAAGGGAAGATCTCTTTAAGCATTGTATTAACATGTACTTTATTCTCTGTATTCTGATGCTTTGACTTCTGGGGCCCTGCTGACCTCAGAGAAATGGCCTCTTTCAGTGATAGCCAAGCCCTAAGTACAAAGAACAACTCTCTGGTGGGTGTGCTTTTCAAATACAGCCCAAGCAATCTGGAGCCCACTCTCCACCCACCTCCTCCATTGGCTTTCACACTCCAGGCCTTGTCTATCTGCTTCAGTCACTTCCTGGCCAGGTGCCAGATCACAAGCCAGTCACAACCTGCTAGCCTTCTGTGGAAGCCATCACGGAGTCTCTTGCCCCCAGGTAACCCTCACTGTGCCTCCTGACTCACCCTGATGCTTCCCCACACAGCCCTACATGTCACACATATTCCTCTTCTTGGCAGTTGCAACAAATTATCTTCTCAATAGCAGTTGTCTCCTGACCTGTTAGCTTTATGCCACCTCAAATCTTATGTTAATACATTATATATAGAAACAGAGGACCGACAGTTGAGGAAAGGCCTGGTGAAATAAGAAGTGAAATATGAGAGTATCTGAAGAAAGAACCTTCTACACAAAGAGCTGCATGAATTATTGGGCTAAATGTTTGAGGAATAGCAAGTTGTGTGGCTATGGCAGAATGAGTACTGGGGACAATACCAGAAGATAAATCAGGAGGAAGGGAGTGGTGATGAGCTGAAAGGAGGGCAGGCATTTAAGGTGTACTTGATACTGCTAGAGAGTAAACTATCAATGGGTAGAGACAAGAAGAAAATCTAGATGCTGTATCACATTTCTAGACAATGCTGAACTATCATCAAAGACAGGGACTGGCGCGGCACATAGAAACATTCAAACCTTCCACAAGGTAGATCAAATCCCATGTATGACACAGAGAAATCTGGCTTTCTAATCATGTTCCCTTACTATCATGGATTATTGTGTTGAATTATGAAAGAAGCACCATATTTTCTTAAATGGGGCATGTGTATTTTACTTCCTAGATGGTCCCCAGTCCTCATATTCTATTATGTATTTTGAGTACATGAAAATTCTTTTCCTCTTAGTTTGCTGAAGTAGGGAAAAATATAGGTCAAGACACTAGTGGAAAAATTCATAAAACAATAATCTATGGCAAGGACTCATGCCATACATATTAAGGGGAATATTTACCATGAGTGGACACAATATTTTGTGTTCATACATTGCGGACAAATTAATTATAAACTCTTTCTTGCCTATGTTATCACTGTGCTGGGCCTGAGGGAGGCTCAGAAGTACAGACTGGTATTCATCTCAAAGAATAATCATCATAATAAATATAAAAAATACAGTCACGATTATAATATATAATGAGCTGAATTTTGTAATATAGATTACAACTCTCCTATAAAGTCAGAGGGGAGATCAGAAATGTTGGCATAATGACTAAAGAGCATGATTTTAATTTTTACCTTAAAGAAAGCATGAGTTTTAAATAGAAGTATAGTACAGACTTAACAAAGGAAAAAAACTATGAAAACAAAAGACAAAATGAAGTTTCTGTACAGTAGAATGTTCAGCCTGATTGGAAGGATGAAAGTATGAATAAAATCTACTAACTTCTTGGGGTCTTGAAAATAAGATGAACAATACTTGGTGAAAACTGGAGGAAACAGAATATCATTGGCTTTTTAAGTTTGTTCTGCAGGGATAGAGATGGACACCAGGGCCTTACATGTGCTAGGTAAGTGTTGTATCACTGAGCCACATTTCCATCCCTCATTGATCATTTTTGAAGAAAGAAGTGGCACAATCAAATCCTTTTAATAATGAAGCTTAGTGATTCAAGAATAAAATAACAAAATCAAAGACACTAGATGTGACGTGTAGTAATTTCCTAAGGCTGCTGTAACAAAGTACCAGAAACTGGGTATCCTAAATAACACAAATTTATTGTCTCATGGTCCTGGAGGCTCAAAATCCATAACCAAGAAGTTGACATATTTGTCTTCTCCTGGAATCCCTAAAGGAGAATCTGTCCCATGACTCTCCTAGTTTTGGCAGTTGCTGGTAGTCCTTGGCATTTTCTGGCTTATAGACATATCACTCTGATCTCTGCATTTGGGTCACACAGTTCTCTTTTACTATCGTTGTCTGTGTCCAACATTCTCTCTTCTGATAAAGATGTCAGTCATTAGATTAAGACCTACTCTAGGGTCAGGAATTTAGCTCAGTGGTTCCACTGCCTGCCTCGCAAGTGTAAGGTCCTGAGTTCAATCCCTGGTACACACACACACACACACAAGACCTACTATAATATATGACCTCATCCTATCATGATTGTGTCTACAAAGATCCTGTTTCCAAACAAGGTTTTATGTATAGATAACAAGGGTTAAGGATTAAATGTGTCATTTTAGGCAACTCATGGAGCATAAGATTTGGCAGTAACTCAGTGTCACCCCAAAATCTTATGTGGCACCCCTCATAGCAAATGTTATGATATCTGGAAATGGACCATTTGAAGGTGATTAGGTTTAGGTGAGCTCATGTGAGTAGGGTCCTTATAAGAAAATATGCTATAGATCAGCCCACTGCAGACAGGCAGGTCTGCAGATGCAGTCCTGAGGTCGCCAGTCATGCTGAAAACACCAAATCAGCCCGTGCCCCTGCAGCAATCCACTGGACCCCCCGCCCACTCCTTTGGCCTCTTCTCTGTACAGTCACCTGGTTCCACACTACAAAGACACAGAGGACACCAGACCACCAGACCACTGTACTGGAGCTAATCAAGTTCTCAGCATTTAAAGAATTCCTGCCCAGAGGAAGGGTCTTCTGAGCTGCTGTCCCACTGCTCCTGGCCAAGAGGAAGGGGCT